TTACAATGCGTTTTTGCACCTTGTCTAAAAGAGAAAGGGCATCATTAGAAGATCCGCCCCAGATATTGCAACAGTATTCCATACAAGGTCGGATTTGAGATTTATAGAGATAGAGAATAGAATCCAGAGTAAGAAAGTGACGAGCTCGATAAAGAGAAGCAACTTTAGCAGATGCTAATTTTGCAACGGATTTGATATAAGGTTTCCAAGAAAGATCAGAAGTAAGAGTTAATCCTAGAAGATGAAGGGTAGGAGACTCATCGAGTACATTACCGTTCATAAATATAGGAAGGCCTAAATTATTGCAATAATGATTGGCTGAAAAAAATTGAGTTTTATCTGAATTAAAGTTCACCAGCCACTGTGAGCCCCATGTTGTTGCAGAAGTGAGATCCTTTTCAAGCTCAAATGCCCCCTGCAAGCAATCAGAGGGAGTTGGCTTCTTATCGTGACAAGAATAAATGGTAGTATCATCAGCGAACAATGCCACCTTAAATGTGAGAATATCTGGAAGATCGTTAATGTATATTAAAATGAGTATAGGGCCAAGGATTGAACCTTGAGGAACCCCTGAGGTTACAGAATAAGAAGAAGAGTGCTGTCCATCAAGGACAACTTTTATACTACGATTGGAAAAAAAGGATTCAATAATCTTAAAGATGTTTCCAGATACACCATAAGAAGAAAGCTTATGGAGAAGACCAGCATGCCAAACTTTATCAAACGCTTTAGAAATGTCAAGAGCAATGGCCTTAACCTCTCCACCTTTATCTAATGCACGATAAAACCTATAAGTTATTACTGTTAGCAAATCAGCCGTAGAACGAGAAGATTGAAATCCATATTGATGATCAGAAAGTAGGTTATGAGATTCGAGATGAGAGATTAAGTGTTTGTTAATTAAAGATTCAAAAACCTTGCTTATGATAGGAAGAAGACTAATGGGACGGTAATTAAATGAATTGGATCGCTCTCTAGAACTTTTGTAAATAGGGATAACATATGCCGCTTTCCAGCAGGCTGGAAAACAAGACTCTGATTAGCACTTGTTAAATAGTTTTGAAAGGATAGATGACAGCTCCGGAGAACACTTCTGCAAGACTATAACAGGTATGTTGTCTGGGCCGCAAGCTGTAGAAGAGTCTAAGCAGGAAATTACTTTAGATACTGAACTTTAATTTTAATAAACTTGAATATATTTTTTAAATCAAAATTAAATTATGTATTTTTTAAATCTAAATTAAGTTATTTTTTTTTTTTATCAGAATAAATAAATTAAATATTTTTACTAAATTATTTTTTAAATTAAATCATATATTTTTTATTAGAATTAAATAATATTGTTTTTGCTTCAAATTTTAAAGTAAAAGCATTTTTCAACCAAAAAAATCAATCATTACACTAAAAACAAAATAAAAATAGATTTTTAATTTTGAGTTTTTTTTGTATTAGTATAAAGCGCTTATATCTAACATAATTGTTAATCAAATTTTTGGGTATACAGGGGCTATTCTAGACCGTTTTTGACATCGTCGACTGTATTTAGGCGTTTTTTTTTTTTTAAATAACCACTATGACTATGTCTGCAATTACTACTACTACTACTACTACTACTACTACTACTACTACTACTACTACTACTACTACTACTACTACTACTACTACTACTACTACTACTACTGCTACTACTATTACTACTGCTACTACTACTACTACTACTACTGCTACTACTATTACTACTGCTACTACTACTACTACTACTACTACTACTACTACTACTACTACTACTACCGCAATTATATCTATAGCAACAATCAATTCGCCTGCTAATTAATGCCACTATAAGCAAATATATAACACAGGCACTGATAGATTCTGGTTCTGATAAAATATTTGTTATATCAGAACTTCTTTAGAGACAATTTTTTAACTAGGGGCCTGATCCCACATGCCTAAAAAGCAATTAAAATGCTCAAAATTGAATTTTTAAAAGCTTGCCTAGCTTCACCCAACTTCAAAGTTCTGCTAGCTATTGTAACAGATGCCTCTGATATAGCACTGGAAGGAAAATTACAACTAGGCAGAATGGTGTCCTTCTCAAGAACACTAACAAATGCTGAATAAAAAACACAATTATTGATGAGAAGCAGCTTCCATAGTAGGTTGTAGAAGATGGAAATAATTAATATTTCAGTATCATATGTTAATATAATTATTAAAGGATTGCAGTATTGAGAAAAGTCAGTATTATATTCTGGTCGGTATTAATAACCAGTCACTACCGAAGTTATGATATTGAAATTTAAAGTAAGTTTTTTAAATATCAACACTTTCAAAAGTTCGGTATTAAACAGTATCTTTTGATAGTGTTTGATAGTGTAAACTTAAATTATCGCCACTATCACAAGAACTTGCTATTTACAGTATTTAAACCCTTTAACTTTGCAAATGCTCCAAATTGCTTTCGAATTAAGGAGATTTGAATTAAAGAGATTGTACTGTATAATTCATATTTAATAAAAATTTTAATGGAGAATTATTTTAAATTAAATTTACATAATTTAATTTTAATAAAATGTCAATTGTTCAGGTAAAATTATTATGCTCTGAAGTTTTTTAATTGAGGACAAAATATTTTTAATTAAATTTATTTCAATTATTATTACCAATATTTTTTTTATATTGAGTTCGGTAGTGGCAAAAGGGACTTGGGTAGTGATGGGAACAATTTTCATTATTAGAAAAAATGTTTTCACTTTCAAACACATGGTAATATTGAAATTGAGTTTTTTTCACTTGGTATTGAGTTTTTTGATATCACACTTTCAATATTATTATTACCGATAGTTACCTATAATATTTTTTGATACTTCAATAGTTCGGTAGTGATATCGCAATATCTTAATAATTACAGACCAAAGATCTATATCTTTTATTTTCAATAAACAGAAAATTAAAAATAAAAAACTAACTAGCTGGTGTTTAGAATTAGCAGACTTAATTATACAATATCATACAGACCAAGAAACCAAAATACAAGAACTTAGGAACACTTATCTATGGATTTTGTCAAACCTTTACAACCACAGCTAATAAATACATTCTTGTGGTAGAAGATAAATATTTGTGCTACCTGTTTGCATTCCCATGTAAGGATATAGCAGCTGACACTGATACAACACCTCAATCTTTTTTCATTATTTGTTACACCATTATCTATACACATAGATCGTGGAACACAGTTTAAAAGTATAAAACTCAAAGTATTCTTAGAAATAAATGGTATCATTTAAATCCAAACTATACATATAACCCCTAAGGCAGCAATCAATCTGAATGAATAAATGGAACAACACTTAAAGCTGTTAGTCTAGCTCTGAAAACATTAAGTGTAGGAAAAGATATATGGGAGGTAGAATTGCAAATGGTTCTATTCTCTGTAAGAATACTTCTGTGTACTGCTACTAACAAAACACCCCATCAGAGGATGATGAACTTTCAATGTTCATCAATAATAGGTATGAATCTACCAAACTTCCTAACAGAACGGGATTCTGCAATCTTATACAGACCTCAGCTACGAATAAAGAGAGATCCATTTTTTGTCAGAGTTCAACAGTTCCCCACTTTGCACATGTCAAATTTAAAATAAAAAACTGATATGGTTTGACAAAACATCTTGCTCTAATACAAAATGTAAATCTATCAACAGAAACAGTCCAACAACATGTCAAACCCAATGACGTTTGTTGGGCATTTAATGTGAAGTTCTCAGTAAGAGAAATTTTACCAATGCTGTGTGGCTCCATAAATTTATCTCATTCAAAGTGAGCTTATTTAATTCCAATGAAGTCATGAGTTGATATTTTAAAATTTGATTATTTTTAGAGAAAAATCTTTTTTTTTTTCAGGGTTGGCAAAAACCCGGTTTTTTTAAAAGAAGACCCAGTGGTTATTTTTGGGTTTAGTTGGGTTAATATATATTTTTTAATTTCCTATCTGTTAATTTTTTTTTGTTTTTTCAAATTTGACAACTTGAAGTTTAATTGAACAAACTTAGTTCTCCGCCCAGCGTCCTTGTTCATAAAGATTTGTGTTTCAGAATTGAAGAGTTGAGAGAGGGTTGTAACCACAACAAGGTAGCCTCCTCAACTCTAGTGGCCTTCTCATTCTGGGAGGTGAATAACATAAAAGATAAAAAGAGTCTCAATCTATAAAAATACTTGAATAAAAATTGTGATAATGTGTTTTCAAATAATAATTTAAATATTAGTAAATCTGCTCTGATGGCTGTTGTTATTAGTTATAATAGTTAATAATTATAGTAAATAATAATTTAGTTAATAATAGATAATAATTTAGTTAATTTAGTTAAATTTAGTTGATAATGATAATTACTAATTAAATTATTTAATATTATAACAGTTGCAATGTTAATGTTGGTTGTAATAGTTCATAAAATTATAAAATATCTTTCAAAAAACCCAATAAAGTCCAGGTTGCAAAGGTTTTATTGGGTTTTTTTAGGTAAGTTTTTTTAAATGGGTTTTTTAATGCTAACCCTGATGTTTTAAAAATATTTTGTTATAGTTTTTAAAACAAATTTTTAAAACTTGCTAAGTTGTTACTAGATATCTTTATAACTTATATAATCATTTATTTCTACTTTGCTTGGGGGTTTCAGTACATACATTGATTATCTTAAAGCCTGCTGCTGCAAGGAAGTGCAGCTACATCTGCTGAGGGTTCGCATGGGGCAGCAATCTTTGCTTTCATTATTCTTCATTTTTTTTCTAGTTTTTCTGAAAATGCTGTATCAATTTGTTACATAAATATGCCATAGTTGATAATGTGAAATCTGATATACACTGATAGTGTTATGATGACTGTTATAGATTGTTAAAGTTTTTTAAAAATCTTTGTAAGTTGTTGTTTATTCCATATATTGCTTTTACTATTTATATTTATTGTTCTAACTATCTTTATAAAAATATTTTTAGAGATGATGATGAAGAACCAAAAATTGTAGATAGTAACAAAAATGCGGATGATGATGATGTCCTGATTTCAAAAAAAGAGAAGAAAAAGAAAAAAGGAAGACATATTGAACAGTCAGTATTTAAATTAAAGTTGTTTATTAAATGTCATGATCGTGATGATTTTTATTTAAAATACCATAATGAAATTATAGGGATGATGATGAAATAATGGAAGAAATTGACAACAAAAAAGTAGCAGAGAATGAAAATGCCCCCAAGAATAAAAAAGATAAAAAGAAGAAAGGAAAACTAATTGAAAGGTTTTTTTTTTAACATTTAACATTTTATGCATTACATTTTCTTAAGATTCTGTTTCTTTTTTTTTTCTTCTTGTAACATATTTTTTTAAAGAAAAATGTGAATCACTGTTTATTATATAACTTTAATGATTATGAGATGATGGTGATTATTATGATGATCATGATTCGTGATTCAGAATTTCAGGAAAACCTTCCCCATGTTAAATACTGTTACCTTTTCCCCCCTTATTACTTAAACTTTACATTACATTAACTTTTCCCCCATATTAAACACTTATTACTTAATAATAATAATTATTATCACAATAATCATAATAATAATAAATGATATTTTGCAATATTAATAAATAACTTCTTAATAGTTAGTAAATTCAGTGCTTAATGTTTAAGTTTGCAAAAATAATATTGCAAAACTCTTCTATTCCTAAGTGGGCCAGAATTCACTTTAGCTGGACAATATTTTTTTTATATAATAATGGTCTGTAAATAACTTTTGCTGCATAAACTAATTTAATGATGTTAAGTTGATAAGTAATTTTCAAAATTACTTTTGCCATATTGCAAGAGCCATATTGCAAAACAACTCAACATTTAACTTAAATAAAAAAAATTTAATATTATAAATAAAAAAAAGTAAAATTTAATAATCTTTAAATCCAAATGATATAAAAAAATAAAGTAGAAGAATGTTTGTAGCAAGAAACATGAAAAAAACAAAAACATGAAAAAAAACGCATGAAAACATACATAAAACACATGAAAACATACATAAAACAGAACAACTGAAAAATTAAACAATTCAAGCATCAGCATTGTATAAAGAACAAAACCATATTTTTACACAAAATCATTAATAGGTACTTGTTTTAATTGCTTTAGCACACCATCAGGAAGTCTTCTTAGGAATATATCATCATCAGGAGCCTTTAATTCTTCAATTCTTAGGAACACATCATCATCATCACACCATCAGGAAGTCTTCTTAGGAATATATCATCATCAGGAACCTTTAATTCTTCAATTCTTAGGAACACATCATTATCATCACACCATCAGGAAGTCTTTATAGGAATATGCAGTGTTCTCAAATTACTAATAATAGGACAGGACCTATTCTAGGAAAAAAGTTTGGGCAGCAGTACCCCCCCCCCCTGTTCCGGCAAACTTCAGCAGGAAATCGGCGTTTTTTTTTTGCGAAAAACAATATTTGCCGTAAAAACATTTTAAAAAACATAAAAAAAGAAGAAAAAAGGTTTTTAATTTAGGCGGCGCCCAAGTACAATCGACGCTATCCAAAACATTCTAGAATAGCCCCTTTAGGATCTAAAGTGCCTTTTGTGCCTCTTCACTAAATATGCCAATAGGCAAAGTCATTTAATCAACAACTTTTCACTCATAAATAAGAATTGATACCATAAATATCATTCAGCTGTTTGGATGTCTTTAAATTGAAAGTTAATCTAAATGTAAAAGTCTTGAAATTGAGATAAATCAAATAGATATCCTGATGATAATGTTCGCAAAATAATATGCAACATCTTAATGATGCTGATATCCAGTCTGAAAATTTTAGTTCTTCTCTGCATTTTGAAAAAACCTTTGATTAGTATTGCCATAGTTTGAAGATCCTGAACCATCAGAATTAATGCTTCTCCATTATTAATAGTTTTTTCTATTAATAAAATTTTTTTATAATTAATTTTTTTTTTTTGATGGATTTCCCATGGTCCACATCTTTATTGTTAGTTTGTAGCATAGTTCTGATTCAAGCATGGAGAATTAAAAGTCCATAATTAACCCTAATTTTAGTTAGTGAAAAATTTTTCACTTTGTTTATTTTTTTCATTTTTTTTAGATTGCAATTGCAAACTGAGCAGGATTGTGATGATTTTTTTTTCTTTCCCATCCACCTCTGTGATTTCAATTTTGTGTAGAACTTTAAATATTTCATAGTTTGTAGTAAATAGTTTTTTAATTGAGTTGATAAAAAATTCTTCATTTAATATATCAAAGGTTTTTTTATGTGATAATCTTGTTGGTCTGCAAAATATGGTGGATGACGGATGAGACTTAGACCAAATAATCTTCTTTTTACCATTCCTTTATCCAGATAACTGCAAAAGAACAAAACAAGTGAGGAATAAGCTAGTACATCTACTATGTTTCTGTTTTCTTTCTCTGTTCACATAATGACCTTTTCTAACACATGGTGCTATGGTAATTTTATGTATACATTTGTTCTATGACTTTATAATTTGCTAGATAAAAAAATTCAATCTTGTTGTGCTTACAATACTTTTTTCAAAGATCTTATGACTATGTTTTCTTGTCCTTAATATAGTTTTATTTTCTTGTCCTTAATATAGTTTTGATAATATAATTTTATCTTTGTTTTACCTCAGCCAAGTTAAAAATAAATGTATCATGTTGCTTGATGCATCACTTATAATGTTGTCAATCTCATTCCTTGTTTTGCCAGCTTTCATCTTTTAGTTCTTGTTGCTTTTTGTTGTACTTGTTCTATACATTTAATATTGGATTCCTCCTTACATATAGTATAATTATTTCTGAGACTGAATTAGCATACACTATTTAAAAAAGGAACTACTGATTCATAGAGCAATCTCATTGAACTTACATTAGTATGTTTAAGTTTTTTAATTACTTTGCCAAGTTTAATGTTGATTTTGTATTTATTACTGTTAATACTTTTTTGGATCTTAGGGCGGAAGACCTCATTAGAAGAAACAGCCCAAATGTTATCTACTTGCTAATATGAGGTAGAATAAAATCAGGAGTAAGAGAATAAGTTTAGCAACCTTAGCAAATAAAAAAAAATTTCAAAGAATTTTATATGGTTTCCAAAGAAATGAAAGCTACTGAAACCAATGAAACCAATTTTAAAACAAATGGTCCATATCTATACCCAAGCTGTATAGTATATATGACAAAGATGTCTATGGACAATAATGTAGTGCTTTGACCAAAAACTTTTTATATTACTGGAGATTTAGTGATTGTGCTAAGAAATTGCTTCAGTATCCATTTGTTCCAATTATATAAGTTTGTAATATCTTTACTAATTGAGTCTTATTGCCAAATTTTACCCATTATGTCTCCAAAAATTACTTTGCTGCAAGTTGAGTTATACGCTGAGAGATTCGTCAACAGAATTCTGTTTTCCTAGCCAAATATATGAGAAAGTATTAAGAGAAGAATATATGAGAAAGTATCGAGAGAACTAATAATGAGGTACAAAATTCACATCTGGTCATCAATAACTAAAAGTCACACAAATTTCAATTTTTTTTTTAAACAGCTTGTGTTATCTTCATCACCTGCAAACTCTAAAATTATTACTTTTAACTCTTATATCAAGCCTTCCCAGGAAAGGCGTGCGGTTTTTCGTCTTGTATGACCACACGCAATTATAATATTTTAGAAAACGTGAACACGGCTGTTCGCAAGTTTTATAATAATGTTGAAAAAGTTTCAAAAACAAAAAAACAAAACTAACAAACTAAAAAGAGATTAAAATAGAAAAAAATAAAAGCAAATTAATAATTTAAATAGTTTGTGTACTGTTTTTATTTTTGTTTTTTTTAGAGTTACATTCAGCAACAAAATTAGATAAGGCAAAGCAAAAAAAAAAAAAAACAGTTTGAAGTCTACAATAAAAAGAATGATTTTCCATTTCTTAATTTTTTTTAAGAGGATAGCAAAAATAAAAATTGCAATGTGTTTGTAAAATTTATTTGTATAATTTTAATGTAATAACAAGGGTTAAATTAAGCGAATGCAAAACGCAAAATCTGGAAAAATATCTAGTATTCAAAATTTTAGTTTATACAAAACTGTGTTCCTTGTTTTTAAGGGGAGAATCAACTTAAATTTGTTAGCGAAAAATAAAAAATAAAACAATAAACTTATGATTACAAAAGTAATAACACTCTTGTCACTAACTGCATTACAAAAGTAATAACACTCTTGTCACTAACTGCATTACAAAAGTAATAACACTCTAGTCACTAACTGCATTATAAAAGTAATAACACTCTAGTCACTAACTGCATTATAAAAGTAATAACACTATAATAGTGTTATTACTTTTATGACGCACTTATAACTTTTAAAATTCACTCTTCAAGCAACATCAGTATTCCCAAATTTTAATTGAAGTAAAAAAATATCTAAAAGAATAAAGTGGATGTTCAAATAATATTAAAACTGAAGAAACTTATAAAATCGTGACAAACAACTTAATGAAAACGTATCGTATTAAAAGTTTAGCATTATGAAAAACGTTACAAATGGACCGTAAAAACGTGCGTTAAATTTTAAAACTAACCAATAAAAATTTTTTATTGGTTGATTTTACAATTAATCTATGTAACGTTTTTCAAAATGCTATACTTTTTATAAAGTACTTTTTTATAACGTTGTTTAAGTGATATGTGAAAGTTCCTGAAATTTTTATTAATATTTGAATATACGCTTTATTTTTTCTAGATGCTTTTCTACTTAAATAAATGTTTGAAATTAACAATGTTGTTTGAACAAAGAATGAACTTTAAAAGTAATAAGTGCTTTATAAATGTAATAACACTATTATAGTTTTATTACTTTTATAATGCAGTTAGTGACTAAAGTGTTATTACTTTTGTAGTCATAAGTTTATTTTTTTGTTTTTTGTAACTTTCTCGCTAGCAAACTTTTAATAATTTGCTCCTTATATACAAAGTACACAGCTTTGCATGAAATAAAATTTTAAAGACCTAATATTTTACCAGAGTTTGCAAACGCGATCGTATAATTTAACTCTTGATATAAACTTGTTACATTATAGTTACACAAATATATTTTACAAACACATGACGATACATATTTTCTCTTTCCTCTTTAAAAGAAAAAACACATAAAAAATGGGAAAGTCATCCTTATAACGCCTAAACAGTTTTTTTTTTTATTTTTTTAATTTTTTTAATTTTTGCTTTGACTTA